TTTTTTTGTGATCGTTTGTAGTTAGGGTCTTGGTATGTGATGGCAATAGGATTTAAATGCGGTGCAGTTTAAAGAAAGAAAGAAGGGAAAGAGACAAGTTGAGCAGGAACGGTCCATAGACACCCGGCCCTCTGCGATTGATAACTCAAACATTCTACCACAATTACCTATTTCAAGAGTGGCAGCTTCAACTAGAAATTACTGGAATGGTAATCAGAAAAGGTGACTGCAAATCATGTGGATTTTCTCATCGAGGAAGAGCGATGAACATGATTAATACCGTGAGTCAGATCAATTTTCTTGATCGTTGTAGACTCCGAGAAAGAGTGTTAAAATGTTCTTATGGACTTGAATGAGTTACCAAAAATCCTATTTAAATATTTTTATCCATTTTGTAAATTAAACGTGATGGTATTTGGAATTATTCTATTTACTTTGAGCAATGAACCTCAAATACGTTCATTTATTTTCAGCAACGCACCTAATGATATTTTGATTTTTCCATTTTACTCTGAATAATCCGTCGATAAAATAATTTTTACACATTTCAATAAATCGAATTGTATTTCGAATACCACTGTTCAACTTTTACAACGAACAATGTGAAATTCAAAAGGAAGCTTTTTGTTTTGCGTTAGGAGTAAATACAGGAATATAAATAATCTATTCATAGGCCTATGTTTTGTGCCAAGTTCCGTAAATTCTGACCTGTGAAGAGTACGTGTTTTAAGTCTTAAATCATATGAATCACATTCAATACAAGTAATTGACTCGAAATATGAAACTAGTCATCAATTGGTCTCTTGGTGAAGTTTCAATTGTTCATTCTTAATCCCCTCGTTTGAGTAACTTAATCAGCGATGCAACAGCCGAGGTCTTCTATGTATCCAATAAGCGAGCCCCTTTATGCACCATTACCACACACCTCCGAATATGTCGATCCGTGTCATCTACTAGAAAAGTACCACGTCCCCAATCATGAATTTTCAACAGTTTTTAATATCTCTGCGAAAACTATAGTTCAAACCACGATACCAAACTCAACTTCCCATACCACCTCAAGAATCCAATCCCTTGCATCCTATATAAATAAGCCGGGCTCGAACAGACACGATTGTCATCTTTATCGCGATTCCAATTTCTGCTTCTTCTTCTTTGGAATAGTCTTCCTTGCTATCCACGTCATTCACCTCAATAGATATTTCAGGCTTAACCTCAGAGGAAGTGAGCAGTGGCGAATTCATGGTGTTGGTGGTTGCTGGTAAGATGAGTTTTGTGTGGTCGAGTTCTGCCGACATTGAAGTTAGTGGATATATCATAAATCTTCGATTGAGATGGCATCAAAATTGAATTGTCTGAAACTAAGAGGAGGAGGAAACATGTCAAATACCTACCACTAGCAACCAACGAATGTCGACGAACTCGTTCCATTCCACGGTTGAAACTTCCCATTACTCTTGGAAGGGCAATTGAGTCCCGCCTGCGATGTGAAATACGATCAAGTGCTCCATTTAAACCTTTGGGAATAGGAGGAAGAGGTTTGTCTCTAGTTTGAAGAGGTTTGTTGGAAGGAGAGATGGCAGAGTGGAAGGATTGATTACTTTTTCCATGTCAATCAGCGATAACCAATTGAAAAGATAAGGGATAGAGCTTACGAGCACTTTAACTCAAATGATGTTGCCAATGGTCTAGATGATGTCATGCTGATGGCTGATGGCTGTGAACTTTTCTTTAGAGATATATCAATCTTGCTCATGTTGAGAGTTGACCTGGGAATGGAGGACAATGATTGCATTATCTGGAAAGATATAACATAACAAGTGAGGAAGACATGGCTTCGGCGTAGTTGAGTCCGAGCAGTGAATTGAAAAAAGAAATTACTAGCTAAGATTGAAGGAGGAGAGCAAACATCCTCGGAAGGTACTATAACTGGACGTTTTAAAGATAACATATGTTTTTTCTTCTTCAATCAGCATGAAAACTTAGTAAAGATCCACTGACCCTAGAACAAAAAGCCACGCAACTCAAGGATGGAGTGTGGTAAGCCTTCGATAAAGGCAATGAGTGGCATTACGTGGCTTTCAATTTTGATGTTGACAGTCCTTCTACAGAAATCTGCGGTATGTTAATTAGTCGACAAAAATCAGATGTGAGTAATCCCTAGATAAGTAACACTAATCGACTCACATATTTACAACTTTGGTTCCAGGAATTAATTTGACAGCGGCACATCGTTCTGAAGTGGGGAAAAGAGTACCCATCGTTAACAAAGTGTTTTTGAGTACTTTTTGGTTGACTCAGGGTAAAGACCTTCTGCCCTGAACATTTATAATCCCGAGAGTACGCTCTCTCAAAAGTTTTCGCATATCAGCCTCATCATCCTCTTCACATTGCTAGAACACAAGAAGTGTAGCAGCAGTTCACTTCCAATCATTCCGGACTGGAAAGCAGAACGTAGATCCCTGTCTTGTCGTGCAGAATTTAAATCGAAGTACCGGGCAACAAAAGGAGCGTGTCTGAATTGAAGTAATTCCCAACGGAATCGGTATTCAACATAGTAAATCCGGAAACTTATTAACTGAGAAGCGTCATTGGCTAAATCAGGGCAACTATAACATATTCTGATGAAATCAGCAGAGATGATCATCGAAGGTCAATGATTTGGATTAGGCCCATTACTTGAGTAAAATGGGATGGGTTCCTGCTCGACTACAAGCGCCGACTAATTGTGGCTTTGGAACCCTGAATATAGCAGCACATACAAGTTCATTTATCCGTCACCTTGTATCACGGATGATTCATATCACGCTCAAGAACTTCAAATACTGAAGTTTAGCTCATCATCCGGCGATGATTCGAGGAGGTGGTTTTCCTGAACCCTAAGAAAGCAAAAAGTACGTACATGAAGTACATTCCTTGAATATTGATCATCACTGAAGGAAAAGTGGGGCTAAATTCGATCAAAAATTTAGAATGATACTTTCTGGAAGTACTTTGATTCTTTAAGGATGTACTTCAAAATGTACTTCAATTTTATAAATTTAAAGCACATCCTTGAAGTACAATTTTGAATTAAAATATTTCCTTGAAGTACAATTCTAAATTAAAATCATTCAAGTTTTAATTTTAAACTAAAATTACTAATTTTGAACTAAAATCATTAGTTTTGAATTAAAATCACTAATTTTGAACTAAAACCATTAGTATTGAATTAAAATCACTAATTTTGAATTAAAATCATTAGTTTTGAACTAAAATTATCAATGCTAAACTTAAATTTTTTAAAGATTATATATTTCAAATAATAAGGTTCGTTATATAATTAATGTGACCAAAAGGGTGTTTATAGACCAGCAATTGTATTTAACTTAGAATCTACAGGTGAAGAGCACCTGTAGATGGGGATAGCTACTCTATATATACACAAATGAATGGCCTAGCCGCAATGGCTAGGCAAAAAGAAGTCATATTTATCCCTCCAATGATCTTACTTTACCGATAACCATTGATACCTAGTACTTGTCCGGATCTGATCCTCAGGTCACCTAAATCGCATACTAATCCCGAGTAATCGTATCATGTGTGGACATGGTTAATGTTGGTACGAGAAGGATACGGAAGACGTAGCACCCACGGATTACGTAGGTCCTGTATGTCTAATTGTATTCTGTCTAAAGAGCTAGCTACATATTGAAAGTAGTAAGTCTTATATAGACTTACTAAAAGAGCTAGTCTCTTTCGCGTTCGCTTAGTTCTTTATTACAGTAGTAATTGAATTGAAGTCATTCACTTCGTTCACACAGTTAATGTACCTGAGGTTTCTTATATAATAAGGGTGGGAGGAAAGCAGGGATTTCCGTCACAATTAAAATATTCTTGTGGTTTAATAATAAAATGATTGATCTTTGAAGAAAAAAATAATAATTGAATAATCAGCAATCGAAAGTGATTAGTAATCTGAAGGGATTAGTAATCGAAGATGTAATGATCGAAGATATAGAAATCGAAGAGAAGAGCCTCACTTTTGCCGAATTAGGAATAAGGTTATATGTACTTCATATATATATTGTACATCAAGGACGTACTGTACTTCAAATTTTAAAAGTCTCACTTTTGGAAGTTACCCATATAAAGTTATATACATAATATACATCATATATAAATATTTTCTGTATATCAATGATGAAATGTAATATACATCATGGAAGTACTTTTTGCTTTCTTAGGGGAAGAACATCCCTAAATTTATCGACCGGTCCATCCGCGCCCTATTGACACCGAAATCAAAAGCAAATTCAGCAAATCTTCGGTGAATCCGGAATCCATACTTTGAATTGTATATTTGGTATCTTGTCATTGAAATCAATACGTTCAATCTTAATCATTATTTTAGTGCTCGAGAATTCTCACCTCTGTATTAAGTGAAGCCTGTGTCAAGTAAATTTTAATAGAACATAAAATGATGAAATCGGAAGAGGTTTTCTTACTATTGAATAATCTAAACGTGGTTTATTGAAGACAATCAGACAGCTAGGAGTTTGTATGGGCTGGCATTTACTTTGGAAAAGCTATACATTTTTGTTGGACACATGCTAAAAAAAATGGGAAGATCCATGATTAACCATGAGATCTGAGAGTTTTTGATAACTATTTTTTGTTGGAAATGCGCCTCATGAATCACTGCTTGACAGCTGTAGCGGGAAAAAGGAGCTCTCTCGAAATCTCCAAGATCGTCCCACTCACTCACTCAGCCATAAGAGATACCACAACCTGAAGTTTGCAAATCTCAAGTAATAAAGCGACTTTTTTCTGATAATAATCTACCCATCCTAAAGACCCTAAGTTATACATAGGAACTGGTACATGGAGTAGGACTTCAAAATCTGAATATTCGACGGGCTCTAGAAAACAAGTAAAAAGAAGGACAAGTAATGCCTGTACGTTGACAATCTTGAGAATCTTGACCTCATCCATAATCTTAAGTTTCTATAAACAACCAAAGAAAATTTTTGGTAATAGAACAAGGGCAAGCTAAATTATAACTGTTTAACGTGACAACAACAATTAAGTGATGTGATTTCTCGGTAGCTAGTGAAAGTTGAGATTATCATTGGTGAATTTAGAGGAAGCGCGGGAATATTTTACAAATCCATTGTTAGATATCCTGAAAACCAACATCTTTCCTACATGAACTATATGTATATATATTTTAATAATAAAGTACAAGTAACGACTTTAATTTATACTCTTATCCCCAGATCTCTTTCACTTCTCGGCTAAATATTCACCCCCAACCTAGACAAACTTCCTCACTTCATTTTTTTCCCCGCAAGGTAGGGCTTGTGATATTCCACCATCTACTCAAAAAAAAAAACTCAAAATACATAAATACTCAATATAAAAGATCTCTAACTTCTACTTTCCCTGACATAGTCTTTCAAAAAGTTGTATAATTGCAACAGGACCCAGAAAGTAAGTTTGGAGTCTTGCTTGCTGTACTCAGATCACGTTAGAGATGAAATTAATATTTATGGATGAGTTTTGTGTAGTGATGATAAAAGCTAATACAACGCAGTGATATCATGTAATGTCAATAATAATAATTATTGATTCTCATACAATGTGAATTCTATATTTATCAACAGTGATAGTATCGCTTTCAGTCTTCAATACACCCATCGAAAACAAAGCTCCCTTTTAAATCCATTGCTTGAACCATACGGTCACACCTTGCTTTTCTTCTTCTTCTTCTCCTCCTCCTCTTCCCAATCCCTCCAAACTTCCCGATTTTTTCAACCATATACCACAACATACACCCATCACTCCCATCATCTCCCTCACCCTCCCCCCACCCCACCCTATTCCTCACACCTAAAATGAACCCTCCATCCATCCATTCATCCATCCAAACCAAACCAAATAAAATCTAAACATCCCCCCCTTACTACAACATCATTCAAAACCTCATTCTCATCCTCCCCCAACCACTCCCACCATCTCCACAACCACAACCATCACCACCATCATTACATCCCCCCTTCCCCTTAATTCCCTTATCCACCCCCCACTCGATCTCACCGTATAAAATAATTACAACATCTCATCTAATTTTAAAAATTTAAAATTCATAAATCTTATATTTACATCATCCTTTATACCAAAAGATTAAATAACTATAATCAATCATATTGAGAAGTTGAATATTTTATTTACAAGGCTAACACCCGCTCCCTTCCTTTATTCTCCTACTCCCCCACCACTCTATCCAACATAACATTATAAATCCCGCATTATCTTTCCATATCTTCTTGTGATTGGAGAGGATTCAAAAGGAAAGGGGAAGAAGCGGAACGGTATTATGGCGGGTGGGTATATTATAATAACTCGATATAAAATTTGAAAAGAGAGTCATTTGTATCTTTTCTAATCATTAGGATATACCCTCGTTAAACTCACATCGAAACACCCGCACAATAAATAACATACGAAAAAAAATAAAAAAATTCATTTCATTCCATATCAAAAGGTTATCTATCCCACCATCATCATCACCATCCATCACCCCCCGCTTCCCTAATAACTAACCGCACTAACCACTCTCCCCCTACACTCACCAAAACCGACCAAACCCCCCTCCTCACCCCCACAAGTACCCCTCAAACAAACCTCATCACCATCCTTCAAAAACTTTCTCGTCTCCATACCCACCAACCAAATATCCTTCGATCCACCCCAGGACATCTCAAGTAAACTACCCATTTCCTGATCACCCTCCCCCGTAATCGTCCCACTACCCAACAAATCCCCCGTGCGCATATTACACCCACCACTACTATGATGGGCGAGCATTTGCTCAAAACTCCATATCAAATTCTTCGCATTAACTTTCCCAATCGTAGTTGTGCTTCCATCTGGCGTTGTAAGATCAATTTCCAAACGAATATCCAAACCGGTATTATTATTATCTTCTTTTAAATACTCCAGCAAATCACCCGATTTCGAAATTTCCGTCTCTAATTTAGCAGTTCGGAAAGGTGCAATGGCATCTTGTAAAACTATCCATGGACTAATACTCGTTGCGAAATTCTTCCCATTAAATGGACCTAATGGGACATATTCCCAATTTTGGATATCTCTCGCGGACCAATCATTCATGAGGACATATCCGAAGATGTTTTCTCCAGCTTTGGTAACTTTAATAGGTTCTCCGAGTTCATTTCCCGTGCATAAGAAACATCCAAGTTCTAATTCAATATCAAGTCGTCTAGAAGGTCCAAATATAGGTTTCTTAGGACCAGGAGCCTTCGGATCGAGTATTATTTGACCATTTGGACGTGTAATCTGAGTTCCGGAGACGACAACGGATGAGGCGCGACCATGATATCCAATTGGTACATGTGTATAATTTGGTTGAAGTGCATTTTCTGCCCCCTTTAAATATATGTTAGAATTTCTTATACAAAATCAGACAAACCCAACATGTGCAAACTCACTCTAAACATAGTCCCCGCATTCCTAGCATGATTGATACCCGCGAAAAAATCCGTATAATCACCAATTCTCATTGGCAGATGATTTTTCCAATCCCCCTCTTTCAACAAACACTCCCTCTGAACCTCCTCATTATCCTTCAACAATTCCGGATACGGCGTATCCTCCTTAAAAACCTCTTGAATATATTTTCTAACTTCGCGATGCACAGGTTGACCTAAAGCCGCGAAGGCATTAAGATTTGGTTCTTCGAAAACGGAGAGATGATCTTTGAAGGAAGGAAGTTTTTGAAACCCCGATGATTTAGAGAAGGCGAGGAGATCCAAGACATGGTTTCCAATGCGGATGGCTGGTCGATGGATGGTTTGGGAATGGCGGGAGGTGATGATTCCAAAGGGGATATTGAGGATAGAGAAGTCGCTATTAGGAGGGATACGGAGCCAAGATTTGAGAGGAGGCATTTTGGCAATGGTTGGCGGGGAGAGGGCTATGCGTGGGACTTGATACGAGTAGGATGTTGAATCTGAGGTAAATCGTTGAACTCAACAAGGAACGAAGAAATTGATTGCAGGTATAGGTATAGATACGATGTAAAGCACACACAACTTAACCGTATTCAATTATTCAATTATTGAATTCCAATTCGACAAATATCAACAACAACATACAATATTGTATACGCCGACGTCAAGCTCAACTATTGCGTACCAATAGAGGGGTCGTGCAGAGCAGCCGAAGGTGCGGAATGAAACTTTTTGTGGAGCGGCGGGGAAAACTTTGCTGTACTCGAGCTAGACTTAGTACCTATGCATGAAGAACCTTAACGGTATTAATTCCGTCCTATAGCCTCCTCGACGAAATTCCGCGATGATGCAGCAATGCAGCAAGACGGTGACAGTGATGTGATGTATCAGATTTCTTTAAATACGGTCAATTTGGTCACATTCGTTTAAGAACTGGTGTTGAATACCAAGAGATTGAAATCTTCCTTCCAGCCGACAACTATCACCCGGTGTAAATAAATTGGCCAGCTTAGTCCTTGCTGTATAAAAAATGGAAAAGGCTGTTGTATTTGATGAATTTAGATAATAAATATAAATTACTAGTAAAGCTGCAGTTTGCTCCATAAATCAAAGTTTCCACCATATCTCCAGGCCAGTTAATATCGATAGCCATCGCAATAGCAAGCTTCCGCTAAAAATGCAAATTAATACACAATTTACCCTATATATGCCACCACCTATTTATCCATCCCTAAAACAAATCCCTCAACTGCCTAAATAATTCATCCCCTTCTCCAAATGCAGGGCCAACACCTCCCACATTTTCTCCTCCAACCCCCGGTGTCCCATCCATCCCATTACTAACTCCATACCCATTATGCCCAACTCCCATTCCCAACGCTGCTTCAAATAAATGAGTCATTTCATAACTCATTTGATTTCCCGTCATCGGACTGCTTCCTGTTCCCGTACCAATTCCTTGTCCACTTCCATGTCCATTTGTCTCGAATCCTGCTCCCAGGCCCGTGATTTCATGACCTGCCAACCCAGCCATTGCAAGTGCGGCAGTACTGTGAGCATCGTCCGCTCCTAATGTACCATTAATATGATTATTTGATGCTGGGCATAACCCGAGTTTCGGCGCTACTTCTTTTAGACCTTTGATTGTTTTCCAAAGACGCTTCGCAACAAAGGATTTATTGGAGAAGCCCTTGACGAGATCGAGTGCCATATAAAATTCATCGCGACAAATCGAGCTGAAAGTTACTGGAGCATGACAGCTTGCCAGGAAAATGACCGCCAATGCAGAAATAAGAAAGTAATTGAAACAGACTTGTTGTACGCGGTAAATATCTGTGGTTTGATTGAGATGTGTGAGAGCGCGAATTGTATCTTTTGCAAACTCGACAACTGTAGATGCGTGTCGAACATGTTCTTGAATAGCAGATGCTGAATGTAGAACAGGACGATAAATGAGGATACGCATTTGATTGGCACGTAGGTATAGAAGTATTTGAAGCCGATGGATTGCGCGAGATGAGGCTGGTGGTGAGTTGGCTGTTGGAAGCTGTAAATGGGGTGGTATGGTTTTCTGCCATTGAGCAATTTGGTAATCTAGATAATCCAACTCCTCGGTATTTATCGTCATCGAAGGTGTTGGGGAAAACGAGCAGATTGAGCGCCACACTTTAGAACCTATTCTCGAGTATGCTATCATAACATGTAGATAAGGGACGGTGCCATCCTAGAAAAATCAGTCAAGTCATTAGTGAAGATAAAAGATTACATACAGGTTCTGGTAAATTAGGATCAATATCTGCATCTTGTAAAGCAAAAGGCATGCCTGTACCAAAACTCCATCTTCGATCAAGGACATAAATTGACCAGAAAAGTTTGGTGATAGCCATCCGTTCTCTTTCATCAATCACTCTGAAAAAAGAATCACGTCTGTGGAGACCTAACTCAATTGACATACGCGCGACTTGCCCAATTATGCGCCAAGCTAATGCTTCTTCATCACAATGAAAATGAAATATTGCCTGTGGACTATGTTAGTATGAAGATGATATCAAAGTTCATTTCAAGTAGAATCGCAGTAACTACATCAAAAACAAGAAAATGGTGTGAGAAAGTGGAAAAATTGCTTTGTATAATTTGCCAAAAACTGGAAAGGAGATGTGAATAATAAGTAGACGATAAATGTCATAAGGATGTAGGCTGGTGCGTGAATAACAAGTACAATTGGTACCTAAGCAGCCATTTAAGGTTTTTCGATGGCGGAACTTCGAGCAATGACTCTGGCGCGTGGATTCGCCCCCTAAGGATATGATGCACAAGATCTGTAAAGACAAAAAAGGAGAGAACATAATAGGCGAAACCTCAATCAAACAAAACCAAACGGCGTCCAGTGTAGTTGGCTTAATACGCTGTGTAGCGTTTAGGTAAAGTATTCCGGAGGAGCGGGATTGAAGCCCCGGGGGTCCAAATCATATCCTTTGGGACCTCTTTCTAATTTTCCTTCCCATTCCGCAAGGTCAATCTCTTCTTCGAAGCTGGTCTCCAGTTGAAGATTCTTGGAAGAGTAGAATGTAGACCAACACCCCAATGACGTTGAAGTTTTTGTGGACCTTCGCATGAAGGGATAATCCTGTGACACACTCTATGCTCCATACCGACATTGTGAGGCTAATATCTCCATAATGAACGTCCGATCAACAATAATCCAGAGCGGCCTTAAGATTCAATGGCGGATCGGGAAATTTAAACCAGAGACAACATTGTGTAGGTTGAGCCCTTTCCGAGGCTGGTGTTCTTTTCCTCTTGATTTCTTGGGCCGCCATCAAGGCTCAACTGAGTATTTCTTTTCTCCCGACCCCAATCTAAGAAAGCGCAGCAAGATATAAATTTTGTTATCTTCTGAGTTCCTCATACCGATAAAGGCATTAGCGGTCATAAGTCTGGGGAAAACCGTATCAGATGAAATGAGTAGCCCCATACGACAGTACATCATATATGCTGTGTAGTTTAAGGTAAAAATAATAAAAACCTAGTGCTCCCTGACGGGAGAATTATAGGTCCATTTCTTCCTAGGTCAATTGCCTTTCTGTAATTTCTTTTCCTTGACGACTCATCGAGTATCTGCTATTTGCCTCTTCTTTGAGCTCCCGAATCGAACAAGATCCTTTTTCGTGGTCCTCAACTCCCATCGAGCCAACGAATATCAATATCCATAACTTACAAGCCCATATCAAACATAGTAAGTGTCCAGGTGAACAATTAATCATACAGGGTTATGCTTTAATTTTAAAGCAAATAAACCAAGTGTGACTTCGAGTTATTGCCGGTAGTTCGATTCCTTTCGAGACCAAATCTTTTTTTGGCAGTTTAACCGTCCAATCCTGTTGAACGACGTCCTTTACAAGCCGTCTTTTACAACTTTGTAATATCATTAAGCCACTGATAGTTGAAGGTACCCACTCTTCATCAATTGCTCTGCATCGGTCCTACTCTAGTTCTCACAAAATACACACGTATGAAATGGACTTCATTTCCCAGGCCAAACAGTTCACCTCAGGGTGGTCCTCAGGATTCACCATCATACTTAACAAATCAGACACACTTGTTTATACTCAGCTCACTAGAGTTTCTGATTCCTTCCATCTTCCACTACCTTGACAAACATAACCTGCAAAACACAACAAAAACAACAATAAATGAAATTTCCTCAACTCACCACAAGTACCAAGAAAGGTAAGCTTTTAACCTCCACAAATTCATCATGTAAAGCACGATCAGCAGACTCTCTAACACTCTCAAATAATCGAAAAGCCAAATCACTTTGCCCACATCCTTCAACAATCATTGAAATAGCCATAACAGTTTTCAACATACAAGAATTAATATCATTAATACCTTGATTGTTGTTTGAAGTGCCAAGGCCATTCCTCACGGCAGCATCAATGAAATCAAAAAGGTTGCATCCATGAGTAATCAATTCTTCAATATCCATAACAGGATACATCAGACCCATTTCTTCTTCGTATACCCTACAAAGTCGAATCATCTCTTCACGATTTACACTTCTTAATGGATCTGGAGCTCGAGCACCATTCAAATTAATGGATGGTAATGCCCTTGGTCGTGTTGGAGGTGGTGATGGTATTGGTGTAGGATCTTGAGTATTGTTTCCTTCATCTGCCAAACCCTGATATCCCATATTATGGAGTGTGTTTTTTGCAACGTCTAACCCAAAAGCTGAGCTAGTCGGTCCACGAAATGAAGGATGTCTGGGAACAGGTTTATATCGACTCATGGGAGAGAGCGCCTGTGCTCCGGATTGTTGTGAGATTGACAATGATCTTTCTGACGATGTGCCATAAGGTATGCTGCCATCACCACTTCCACCTACACCTGCGCGCATCGCATTGAGATTCGAGTATAGATTATCCACTTGTTCTTGTAATGAGGCAAGCTGTGAGTTCATTTGACGAAATTCCTCTGATTCCTTGAAGCCATTGCTACAACAATTCGGCGCATATTGACATTCGAGGTTGAGATTTCCGCATCGTTGACATGGTGTATTTCCATTACATTTAATCTTTCTTCGTTTGCATTCATTACTATGAGATGTATATTAGTATCCATGAACGCTATTTCTTCAATTGCAGATTGTAAAAATGTCTGCAGGAAGTTGGGAATGCTCTTCTTCCTCGGGCGCATGGGCATTAAACCATCAAGGAGCAGTTAAACTTCAATCATCTTTCAAGGCACCAAGACAGAACATCACACAAAGATGAAGCACAAAAAGGAGCAAATCCCACTTACCAAGCGATAGATATATATCTGTTCCTCTTTGCTCTTGTATGTGGAGCCCCTTCTCTATCCTTTGAATTTCCATTTGTTGTTGAATCTCCTTCACCGGATATACTTTTTCTCTTCTTTCCGCTCTGAGCCCCAGTATCCGCGGGTGATTCCGAAGACTGTTGACCATTCATGTTATCGAAAACTGGGATAGCAATGGGAGACTCGGCGATGTAATTCAAATCGTTGACTTGTAATTCAAGTATGTTCATTATCACATTGAGAGGAAGAGCGTTGAGTGACTTTGCGCATCGGGCTGAAGATGTATGAAAGTAGATGGTTAGGATTTTGAAGGTGTGTTGACTCGGGACTTGAAAAGAAGGTACCCAGTAGATTTTCATTTCTAACAAATGAGAGATTCGGGATTTGGGATTTCGGTATTATTATGCGGGGAAGTTTTAGCTGAACAAGGATAATTTCGTAAGGGGGTTATGGCACGTGATGTGATGTGACGATAGATGAAGGTGGAATTACGTGAAAACTGGGTATGTTTTGAGAATCAAATATTCATAATCCATGAGATGATCTTAAATGATATACATACAGGTGAAACCACTTGATAAGGTTATCAACATCGAATTTACTTTTAATATTCACATGTTTTTCCCCTTTTCCCTATCAAATGAGAGAGCTTCATCAATGAGAGCTCTATCAAAGCTACCTTCATCAAAGCTACGGTACGTCCCGGTGTAGCTTGAACAAAGCAAACGAATGACCTTAATAATCGGAAAATCCGGAGAAGTTCTCATCATTATTACAACTTTAGGTTAGATTTGCTGGAATACGTTTTGATGTTAGTAAGAGCACCTTTGTTGCTTATGTCAAATGACTGACAGCATTCAATGGCATTGACCTCTACTCGGGAGTTCCATTTTGATAGGGAGAGAGTGATGAGCTTTGGTTTGATGATCGCCATATGATGCTGATGCTCACTAGGAAGCTAGCTACCTACTAGGTATTTAGTAAGACTTACCTCAGTTCTTGCCCTCCCAAAAGCCAATCCCCTTACCCCATGATTAAATTTATAAATGAAATCCAATTCCCATTCATAATAGATGAGGAGATATCAGCATTCTCATTTAATTCGTATTTCTAAACCAATAGATCTATATCTATATCTATATCTATGAATTCATGAAATTCCAAAAGATTTCCTAACTTAGATATTATGTCATCATTCACCACCCCGCTTTTTTCTCGCTTCAATGGAGATCTCACTTACAGTATTCGGGTGTTCTACAGACTTAACCCCCCGAACCTATGCCTTCCGATCTTACACACCTTCAGAACAACCATACTCCATATATCTCCAAATATCCCAACAACAAACCCAGACTCTAAAACCCACTCCTAACCATTCCCAACCACTCCCTACATCCCCACCCAATCCCAAAAACTCTAAACAAACCCCCTTCCATATCCTCCATTCTCGCAAGGTAACTAACCTTACAAGATACTCACAAGCTCCGCTCCACACATCTTTCTAATATTCCATCCCACTCAGCTCACCCCCCTCTCTATTACTCGTACGTACATTCTAACCCATCTCCATAATAAAATCTCACATATAAAGTCAGACGTATATGCACTATCGAGTAAGGAAGCATTTACCGGAGCCTCCGTAATCCCAATTGCAATGTTAGCCTAGAGGGGCGGATGATGAATTGATATTAGCGTGTCACAACACAACTCCTAGTAGTCTGACAACTCGTCTCCATTGATTTTACTAGGATTTTTATATATTGAGATTTCGGGTATGAAATGTATGAAATATATGGTGAATGAACCCAAGCAAGCTGTAAGTTATAAAGAAACTATTTAATGGTCTATTATGACAGCACTTAATTATGGCATCTAGAGAGAGCGCTCTCAATGTATTAAGATTATTAAGATTACCATATTCATGTTGCAGATGACGAGTGAAGTGAATAAGGATAGCGATAGAACCACCTTGGTATTTGATTCTTTTATATATTCTCTTCATTCCATTTTATATCGCTGCAACTTATACTAATAAGTTAATTAACCAACTATAAATGGGATGAGCAAGATGAACAAGGTGAATGGGATGAATCGTTTATAATAAATAATATAATAACACAACATAAAAAAGGTGAAAACCCAATTATCTATAACGCTAAATTGTATATCATGTCATGCTAGGTCATGAATCATAAATCATGATGAATCGACCACCAACCACCATCACCTCCCTAACCTTCCAATCACACCAGCCATTCCCCAACCCTCCACCCCCTCACCCCTCACCCCCTCACTCACTCACTCACTGTAAATCCCTCGTCCTCACCTCCGCCTCCATCATCCACCTCTCCAAAGCCTCCTGATCCCTCACCCTAAACCCCACTTTAAACGGATACGGATCCGTCGTCAAACTAGTTTTAACTGCATTACACCCCAAAGCATCCAAGATCGGTTTATCCTTTGGATCCATGGGAGCCACAATGCGAAACGCTGTAATAATTCTAATAAACGCAGTGTAGAGTTCACGATTTGCGAGATGCGAACCGGCGCACATGCGGGAACCGGCTCCAAAAGCATAATGTGGTGTACCGCCTCCTTCGATGTTGTCGAGGTAGCGTTCGACGGAGAAGGTTTTGGGTTCTTTGAAGTGCTGTGGGTCGTAGTCGGCTGCCCATGCGTTCTGGGGTTTGTTGGTTAGTGGAGGGGCTTGTAAGGGGATGTGTGAATAGGCTTACCATGTAGAAGGTTGTGCCAGCTGGGACAATAGCTCCTTCGTATTCGATGTCTTTGATACTGGTTCTTGGTAGACAAATAGGGATGACTGTGAAGAATCGAAGGACTTCTCGAACAAAAGCGGTGACATATGGGACTTTTTCCTCAAGAAGACATTTCTCCCATGCATCTCCATCGGGATAAACTTTCATGATCTCTTCATATGCACGTTTTTGAATTTCTTGACCATGTTCAGAGGAAAGATATGCGATACCCATGATCAAGTTACCAGGAACTGTATCAAGACCAGCGGAAACCATAGTTAGACAGATAGATTTAAGTTCATCTAAAGCGAGTCAGTATATTACTTGAAGAAGATATATCGAAAACTCACTTTCATTTAACTTTGCATCTGGATCCTTGATAATATTTCCAGTGATGCAAGGATTGTCAGTACCATCGGCGATTTGCTTTTTAAGTTTATTCAACAAGAAATTCAAGTACTTGTCTCTCCTTTCTCTGTATTCAATAGCCTCGGTATTCGACTTGGGTAACAGTCTTAACAATGGAATGTAATCTTGCCAGTTATTACTCGTCGATCTCAAAGTACTAACGGCTCTTTCCACATGACAAATCTCCTCGAGTAAATCCTTATCCCTAATTTCATGAAGTCTTGATCCATAGTTCAATGTCAAAGAAGTATTGAGAGCAAATCTTTGAAAGTAGGATATAGGATCAATATCAACCTGTCCATTCTTACTATCATTGAGTAATTCTCTGATAGAGACTTTAGACTCAAGATCAATGATAGGCATGTAAGATTGGGTGGCTGGTCGATTCAAAGCAGTAGCTGCAGCCTTTCTTCTTTGTTTACAAGATTCATCCCATGGAGAAGTACCAATGGTGAAACCTTGAGAAGTAGAAACCACACTGTGAAAAGTATGAAGAGTAGGACGTGAAATCAAGGCTGATTGATTGGTGACCCAGAAGTGACGAACTGAATCGAAAGTATTCACAAATACAATTCGCTGTTAAGAATCAGTATAGATCTTCGAGGAAAAGCTAACATCACTTACCTTATTTCCAAATCGTACTTGAAAAACGGCACCATACTTTTCAGCTAGTCTTTTTGCTACTAATGCATGAGTGATACCAAATTCTAAAAGACTTCCGAATAGAGGATATCCAGGGATTTCAGGGAGATTCTTAATCTTTGGCGTATCTGTACGATTGAGATAACGGACGATGAAAAAGACAGCCGCGATAATGGCAATACCTATTGTTTGATGAGACATTGTGGAAGAAGATGAGTGAAGCAGAGGAGAGAGAGTGAAGAGAGAAAGTCAATGTGAATGTGGATGGATGGTAGGAAGATTCGAGGAAAAATGATCGATATATAAATTAACTTTAAGAATCTATCTAAAAGTCTATTCTAAAATTGATCCGTGATTCGATTTTCTCCACCTCTTGTACGAAGGAAGAGATAATATTCCAGAAAGCATGAATACATCTTCAAGTAGAAAAGGAGATCAACTGATTGGTTGAACGTCGCACAGTGTGGGGAAATGGGATGCGATCTGATCGTACAGAGTACAGGCCCCGACTTCTACATTCCGCGCGGATTCTCTTCCGTACCTGACTGTAGTGAATATAGAGATGAAACTAAGTTGGAGAAAAGCTTTGAACATTGCGAATTAATGGAGATTGTGTGGAGAGAAGATCGATTTAGCTGCAGTTTCGTGCATTCTGCGACGCGGAATAAATTCCGTTGATATAAAATCGGTGTGAATGATGTAAATGTATGCGAGTGTTATATTGGTGCTGCCAGATGACTACATTGGTCTTACGAGGAATAAGGAAGAAGAGAAAACCTTGGAAGAAGAACAGTTACATCCGGAGTTTTTATACTTTCTGCTTGGACAGAGTATTAACAATTTGATGGTTTGTATTCATCCGTATGCGGAATGTTGGATTTTACAGTATTAACCATGTGGTCGGTTACACTCGGGAGAAAGGCTTCATGATGGCGGTACAACACTCCATGAAGTTGCTCATTGTCATTGTACTCGAGTATTGAAAAGGCTTTCGTAATTTAATTATATATTCAATACTTCGCATGTTCCTATTTAATGAATATTCAGAAAGTCTTTCGTGATTTGATTTTATTTGATGTCCATATTTAATTCTTTGTAACTTCTCATCTAACCCTTCACATACCCTTACACTACCAAGTAATTACATAACATTCTAAAAATGCCTGTAACGAACTTCAGTACCCCAGAGAAGTACAAATATCAGAATGGTTTTGGTTCATATCATGAGTAAGCCTTTCCCATAAAATCCATCATCAACCTCTCTAACATCTCCGAAGATCCGAAGCTATCGCAGGTGCTCTTCCAATAGGTGCCAATTCCCCTCAAAAGCCTCCTTATGGTCTCTATGCCGAGAAGTTATCCGGAACAGCATTCACAGCTCCACGACACGAAAATCAACAATCATGGCTTTATCGAATTCTACCCGCCGCATCACATCAACCCTTTACTCCTCGCGAAACTTCATCTTATAATACAAATCCCGAAGGAAATAAACTACATCAAATACCGAATCAATTGAGATGGGATCCTTTTGATCTGGATGAGACAGTTGATTGGGTACACAGTTTGAAACTGGTAGCTGGAGCTGGCGATCCGACATTAAAGCATGGAATTGGAATATTCATATTCGCAGCTGGAAAAAACATGTCCAAGAATGAAGCATTCTATAGTGCCGATGGAGATTTCTTGATCGTGGCACAACATGGAGTATTAGATATCCAAACTGAACTTGGAAATCTTCTCGTTCGACCAAATGAAATTTGTGTTATTCCTCGAGGAATCCGATATCGAGTTGAACTTCCAGAAGGACCTGTTCGAGGGTACATCTTGGAATTATATTCGGGACATTTTCAGCTACCGGAATTGGGACCCATTGGTTCGAATTGTTTGGCCAATGCTAGGGATTTCCAAGCACCAGTTGCTAATTTTGAGGAAAATACCAATGGTCAATTTAAGATCTTGTCGAAGTTTAATGGTCATCTCTTCGAAGCTAGTCAAACACATACGCCTTTCGATGTCGTAGCTTGGCATGGACTTTACTACCCCTACAAATATGATCTCGGACGTTTCAACACCATCGGCAGTATATCATTCGATCATCCTGATCCAAGTATCTTCACCGTCCTCACTGCCCCTTCCGATCATGTTGGTACCGCCATTGCCGACTTCGTCATCTTTCCTCCACGCTGGCTCGTAGGTGAAGATACATTTCGACCACCCTGGTATCATCGCAACACCATGTCCGAATTTATGGGGTCTCATCGGTGGAGAATATGATGCAAAAACAGGGAGGGAGGTTTTCAACCCGCTGGTGCTTCTCTACATAATATCATGTCAGCTCATGGTCCCTGATGCAGGTACTCACGATAAAGCATCGAATGCGCCCATTGAAACCGATGAAGGTTGGAGAGGGGTAGTATGGCGTTTATGTTTGAGAGTTGTTTGATGGGTGGGGGTTACGGAGTGGGGTTTGAAACAATGTAGGAAGGTTCAGGAAAATTATAATGAGGAGAGTTGGACGCCTTTGCCGGCTCATTTTAGGATTCTGGAGGGTGGAAAGAGGATTAGTAATTTAGTTTCGGGGGAGAATTGAGGTATGAGTTGATATTTGAAGAGTGTTGGGTGAGAATGCGAAGAATGAAATTAATGAGGACTTTGGGCGTTATACTTGATGGTTTTTGTAGGTGGTAGTAGGTGGTTTTATATAGCACCTATATGGTTTTTAAGTGTTTACAAAAATGCAACAATACAAACTCACAAAATTACGAATATCATGTCATTAATCAACCTTACCCATCATATCATATCATCATATCAAAAATCACCTCATTTATATGTAAGATTATATGTAGGTATGCACGCACCATTGTACCTCGTACTCATATCCGAAAAGATCCACACCAGATTAGATGGGAGAAATGAAAATAGAATATACTTTTATATCATAACATCAAGCAAAGGTTTTCAAAATATATCTAGTATCTATCTCATTTCATTCCGCTTCTTTCTGTATCTTTCAGGATCTTGCTTTCTTTTTTTCGAAAAGGGAAGAGAGAAGGGAGATTTGGAGGTGTCGTTCTTTGTATTGTGGGATGGGATATGGGATGTATAGGATGGATTTGAGGGGCTGTGATTTATTGGGATGGGGTTTGTAGAGAGGGGAGGGGAGGGTATATATGAGATGTGATATTGGGTAGGTAGAATAGGCGAGATGGGAATAGGTGAGGAGATGATGGATGAGAAGGGGTGAGATGAGTGTGAATTATGATGAATAATGTGTAGGGATGAATATCTTGTAATTTTATAAGTTTCTAATCCTGTGGTTTTTGTGGTTGAGGATTGAATGGTTGGATTTGGGGGGAGGTATATGTATATGAAGGTACTAGGTAGGTGGTAAATTGTTAATATAGTAAGTTGGGAAGGGATGTTAGGGAAGTGTTGGAGAAGAGAAGTTGAGGGGTATGAGGGGGATGTTGGAGAGGTATTGGAGATATTCTGAGAGCGTTGGGGGTTTGTTGGAGAAGAGGGGATATGGAGAGGTATCGGGGGGTATATCCGGAGCTGTAAGAGGGAAGTTTTGTTTCGTTGGTCTAGAAAACTAAAGTATCACATCAATGAACCCCTCTCTGAAGTTACTCTATTAGTAAGATCTTACATGACATCAATATCCCATATCTTCCTTTTCATCCGTTTCGCTCAATGTGAATCTCAATGTTAAATACCTCCATACTTATCTAACCATTTTTGACTACCTAGCATCCAATCATGATTCCATGCATATAGTAAGAACATTCTCGACCTGAGTTTCTAAGACTCAAACGATATGATTAGGATTGCGTGTCATGGTTCCCTGTGGCTGAGGATAAAATGCCTCAGATTGGCATGAAATTGGCATTTCTGATGATCGGTTAACTTATTCTAGACAGAGATAAGGTGATTACTTTATGTTGAATGGTTCGGATCATTAAAGTTACCTGGACATATCGAAATAAGGTTTTGTATACGAATGTTTCTCCTGAGAGTTGAATTGATGTAACTGGTGATGTAGGATCCGAGCGGTTTATTGAGGTGTTGGTTGGATGGTGAGGATTCAAGTGGATAGAAGTGCATGATCATATTACCCCTCACGAAAGAAACCAATTGAATGATTGTGTTACCCCTCTTTTGATTTGACGTGATGGGTGGAATTGAACTTAATTGATGGATTTGATTTATTTGATTCAATTAATTATCTGTATCTCTTTTTGCATGAGGACAATTTTGCTTTACTGGAATAAAATAAGTATATCCTCAATTCAAACACTTTTATTTCGATAAATTTGATAGATATTTGATGGTCAGACGAAGAATCATTGATGAACTGATATTCCCAACCAATATGACGTGACAAGTCGTCAGCAGATTCTATTGCGAAACCTGGGGTATGACCCACTTCCCCAGTTTTTAGTAAAGGAAGGATCGGAACCTGACTTACCGGACAAGGGAACAATTTCTCACACTAAACTTCTTTGGGTGTTTCAACCTCAGGGGAAAATACTATATATGGAATGGGGTGATTTGAGGAATGGTATGAGTGGTATGAGATGATGAAAGATTGTACCACCAATATACTTTGAAAGCATGATGATCTGAGGAATCGAAAGTCTCGTGAGCAAATGTTGGAGGATTTTGACAAATGAAATTATTGAATTGAGAAGGTCCAGGGTACATGGTTTATTACTGGAATAAATGTACCTGTGATATTTCAACTTCACTGCAGTTAAATGGAGAAATTCATGCTTCGAGAGTGGTTTGCTAAAAATGTAATTATTACTACGGTGGTACCTTCCTTTATTTAATTCGGATAATTGGAACCAATCACCTCATTGTTGCGTGACCTGATGGATACATTGAAGTAGTTTCCCCTCATTTGAAAATCTAATGACTTCCTCCTCCTTCCCTCCTTTGTTATTCAATCACACAACTCATACACACTCTTACTCACATATTCATTGATACGTCGACTTCTTGTACCCGAATTCATCATACCAACAATTTCAATCCACACACTTCATCTTTCTTGATATTTACTCCATCAAAGAAAGATCATCAACTATCAAATACCTTTCTTACTTATTTGGCCGAACACACTATACTGTCTTTGTCTCTCGATAATTATCGTGAGATATCGTATTAACTACACTTTTACATCAAGTAAACCAAACCACCTCGATCAATCATGTCTGCAGAAACCGCAACTCAACCAATCAATACAGCGAATGCTTCTCAAGATGCTGATCCTTCACCTTTAACCAAGGTTGATTCAGCCGTTCAAGGCTTATCGAGTAGTCCTATTGATGAAAAGACTACTAAACATCGGAGAACAAGCTCGAGTGCTCCTGGTGTATGGAATATTAATGACTTGGGTATGTGTCTTTCCTTTCATGCATGAATGTCTCTTCATGTCTCCATATGATATATAACTAACAACCTGAACAGAGAAAGAGGGAAAAGAACTAGAGATTGCGAAAGAAACTCAGAAGCTGAACTGGTATGTATACTTTATACCCCACTTCATCAAATACAGCCTCATTTCAACAACTTTGTGAACAATGGCTGATGATAGACTCATCACAGGCGTATAAACAAATCACCAATGGCTCTCGATGATCCAGAAAAGGCTTTCCTGAAGAAATCTCTTACTACACCACCAGTCAAGAAGATTGATTTACATTTCCCCTCTGGGATTGGAAGTTACGGCGAGAAATATGAAGGGTGTTACTATTAAGGATGCATTAGATGCTATCTATAAGCAATTCAGAAAGAAGGTATGGTCTCCTTTTACACTTTCTTCCTAATTTCTCACGTTAAACTCAATCTTCTCATCTGCCACAATTTCAAAACACAAACATACTGATACATCTCAACCACAGGCAGATGATGAACTCGAAACTCCAGTCCTCGCAGGTTTCGAATGGGATAAAGATGAATCATGGACTCGTCTCATCGTTCACTGCAAGAAAGAAGGAGCACCACAACCCAAGAAGAAGAGCAAGAAAGCCGGTAAAGAAGGAGAAGAATTGTAGTTCTACTACTATCCTCTCTCTGACTTTCACTTACCTTTTCTGCCTACTCGTAAACTATACTTGTTGTTCGAATAGAGCATTGATGGCGTGCGAGATTAAGGATGGTTTTTACGGATTTTAAGAATGGATGGATGCTTGATTTTTGCTGGTCTGATATTGATTGATTTTGCTTGGGTTATGAATGGTTTGCTATGATATGGATGGGATGGGATGGGAATTCGGGATATGGTGATAGGTGGCTGTGATGGATCGAGGTCGACGACATTCCTCTCCTTTTTTACTTGTTAATTTGCTATTCTATCTAAACCATAACTTGTGCAAGATATTTACTTAGCTAGCTGAATTAAAAGCTTAGCTTTATTTATTTTATTTCCTCCTTGCAGAAAATGAGTAGGACTTTTGAAGTATTAATGCTATTTTGTTGTTAGTGTGTTAGTGTGCTATCTGTGTGTTATCTGTGTGTGTGCTGTTTGGCGTAGCTACTTACTAGATAGTAATATAGGGCGAGTAATACTACAATGGAAGTGAAATGAAGATTTAAATATGTTTAAAGCCCATTCCTGTTTTTCTCTCCTTTGTTCTTGTATCTAAAGTGTATATGATCTGGTATAGTCTAGTATCAGAGAGTATTAATTATACTGTAATATAGTATTACATTGATTCTAATTTCTATACAAAACCTTTTCTGTTCTTGATTTAGAACTAAATCTAAATTTAAATTTGTTTTTAGTTTATAGTTTTTAATTTTTGAAAGTTGATAGAGGAGAAGGAGGAGCAGGAGGGGGGGATAATTGGGAGTCACTCGAGGGGTGACAAATAGGTGTGGGGTGGGAAAGGTTTAAAGGAATTGGCTGTTAGTTTTTGAGAGGGGTTTAGGGGATGAAAATTGGGTGGGGGAATGGTAGGGGAAGTGGGGAGATGATATAAAAAAAAATGATGGAATAAATAATAAATAATAAATAATAAATATTAGAGTTGAGAATATATTTCATAGAATAAATATTTGAAAATTTTTCAATGATATCGGAATGTCTATATATAAGATTATATATATGACTGTACTTGAGGGATAGAGTTTTAAAAGTAAATTAATATAAGAATATATAAAAGTATAAATAAAAGTGTTGCGAGGTTTGCCGTCTAGATCACGTGGAAGTGCTCTAGGCTCTCGAGGTGGTTTATAACTAGGCGTCAAGCAAGGACTTAAAGTAATGACAATAATGCAATTCGTAACTAATAGTAGAGTATACTAAATGATTGATCTTGAGCACGAAGCTCTATACA